CATATGGCAGTACAAGGACAAAGCTTGAAAAAGATTTATAAGTATATTATTTTATGCACTTATATAAATATATAAATCTAATTGTTGAAAAATGGAGGATCAGTCGAATTGAATTGAATAAATTGAGAATAACAACAATGAGGTTAAATTCAGCGATGCATTGATCCCAAAAACTGATGGATCCCCTAAGCCTTCGCTGATTCACTTGATGAATCAACATGCTGAATACTATCGATGAGTTTAAATGGATTTCTGTTGCCGTCTATCAGTTCATTGCTGAGATAAGGAACTTGTCTTATGTTGGAAAGTTAACCTAACCTATCAAAATATAAACGTACTCATCTAGCCTCGAACAGTGTGATTGTGTGATCTTGTGCACATCAATTATGGAGTGAGTTCAGTTTTGCTATTTTTTTTTTCTACTTTAATTAAAGACTGGAGGATTCTGAGAAGGAGTCATTCAGTATAAGTACATATACATGTATAAACACTTGTTTTTTCATTGGTTCTTGTTCGTGTCAGATCTAAATTAACTTTAAAAAATCACAATATAAACGCTACCAAATATCAGCTCCATTTCAAGAAAACAATTTATTCCTCTAAGTATTATTAATTCTTTTTCTAAACACCTTCTTTAAAAACAAATTTCTTCACTGATTAATAAATATTACATGTCTTCATATTATTTTATTGAGTATTATAACAATCCGTCTCTTGGACATTGGTTATAGTGAGGTAGGATGACATTCACACTATATGTACAAAAAAATAAAATTACCTAAACAATAAGAAAATTAAAACTAAGCAAAAAAAAAAAAAAACACACATGCATACCTATATACAATCAGGCGAGGGAACTCCAGGAGAACCCTGCGCTACTCTCTCAACCGCATCACTGGTACTAAAGCCAGCGGAGATTGATCGAGAGCACTTTAGCCACATACACTCATGTCTTGAGTGAAGAATCTGGCCATTGCCAGAACTCCAATTTATACAATCTACAAAAGGTCGCGAGGCCACTGCCGTTTCAACCTTCTTGGAGGATTATAGGGATGGGAGGTGCTTGATAGGGATTGTGCAAGAGAACCTGCATGGTACGTAAGGTTCATATTTAAGGACATTAGTAATAGTGATAGGGTAGCTCATTCACACTCTATATACCAAATAAAAATAAATTAAACAGCAAAATAATAATACGAAACGTAAATGTATACAAATAAAAATAAACTAAACTAATCAATATAACAGGAAGGAAAAACAGGCCTCTAGGATATCACAGAGGCTCATTAGAGGCACTGTAACCACAGACGTCAATATAATTCTTTCTTTGTTGTCCTTTTTCTTCTTTTTATAAAGACCGATTTTCATTAATATTTTTTTATAATAGTGGTTAAATAGTTGCCTAAGAAGGCAAAAAAAAATGATAATATTTATTTTGACATTTCAGTTCAGGCCATCATCAGGGATGACTGCTATGAGGTAAATCAATGCAATGGTCAAAAATCAAATCAAATCACCCCCCCCCTCCCCAAAATTAAATCCTGGATCCGCTACTGCTTTAAACTAAAGTAGATATTGTTATTGTTGAAACTGTTTAAAGAGGACTATTGAGCTGAAAAACACAGTTATGTTCCGTTTTAAAACAGTCCTAAATTATTTGTGATTTTTTTCTATCACCCTTCAACTGTACTACATTTAACCCACTTTTAGAAAAAATCCCTCGTTTGATAACATCATTGCTTCGATTCACCTCATAGCAGTCAGTCCTGATGATGGCCTGAACTTCAGGTCGAAACGTCGGCAAATGACAAAATAAATATTATCATTTTTTTTTTTTGCCTTCTTATTTGACTGATCACCCCAACTATTCTTCTCCTCTTCAATCTTTTTTTATGTTGATAATACCTATAATTATAGAATATGGATTCACTCACAATAGGCAAGACATTTTAGGACATATCTAGTTGGAAATGTTCTTGGAAAGTCGGTACGTGGACGTGGAAGAAGCTAAAACTCGCCCCTTCCATCTGGGTCAGGTATGCCAATGATGTGCTCATTATCGACTCTCAGTGAAAGCTATTCCCCGAACCTCGGCACGTCGCTCTTTGTCCAGGAACATCCAGTTGTGGGGGGAGGGAATGTCCCGTCGTTGGGGAAATGACTTCGCTGCTTTTCGAGGCCGTGGTTTTCCCCGTGGTTTAGCTCTTAAACAGAATTATGTAGACAAAAAAAAATACTTATTGTGAATTTTCTGTGGAAACGGTGTGCAATAGTCGATATTAATATCGATATATCGGTTTGTAGTCGGCCATCGATTTTCTCGTTAGATTCTGCTTGATTTTTACTGTCATCTACCTATAATATATGTAATTGTAACAGATTAACAAAGATCAAATTTATTGACGAAAAACCAATCAATTGGGAAATAATAATATAAATATGATTTGTGGAAGTTGTGTGTTGATGAACACAATGCACCAAATCCAACATACTTTATCACAGTAATAAATAAGATAAAAAAAATTATCTCTTATAATATTATTGCTCGTGTAATTACATTTAAAAGGACTTCAGGAATCACTTAAACACCATTTCATGTAGGTAGTAAGTTTCTTTCTTCTTTTCTAAAGTAACTATAGTTATTTTTATGAAAAAAAAAAGTTTTAAAGCTGAAGCATCCCCCCCAAAATTAAATCCTGGATCCGCTAGTGGTTTAAACTTAAGTAGATATTGTTATTGTTGAAACTATTTAAAGAGAACTATGTTCCGTTTTAAAAAAGTCCTAAATTATTTGTAATTTTTTTTTTATCAGCCTTCAAACCCCTTCAACCCTTCAATCAGGTTTAATAAAACTTAAGTCCATATTAATTAAATTAAGGTTTATTAGGAAAAAATGACTACCAAGATATCCGGATTTAACGCCATTAGATTATTTTGTGTGGGACTGGATGAAGTCTATGGTTTATTCTGCGGCAGTTGGCACGCAAGAAGAGCTAAGAAATCGGATCGTGGAAGCCGCAGTAACTATCAAGCACCAAGAAGCATGGATTCGTCGTGTTGAATGTTGCATTCAACAAAACGGAGGTCTCTTTGAATAGTTACTTTAAATGTTGTAATAATAATAAATAAATAGTAATGATAAATAACAAATGTTTAACCTTTGATATCTGTTTAATAAATGAGTTTGAGATATATGTTAATATGAACTTTTTTGTTTTGAACACATACGTAAAATAGTGCAGTGCAATTACGATAAATATATATATATATATATATATATATACACACACACACACATATACATTCATTCATATATGACTTAAACGATTGGGGCTATGAAAGATATTAGCGGCAACAGGTGGAAGGGCGGATGTGCCAGGTTAGTGGGCAGCCTCGCTCTAACGAGGACAATCGAGTCTCCACCTTGCTTCCTCTCCTTCCTTATATTGGTATTGATATCAATATTAATATTAATAAACAGATTTATATTATTATAACAGTAATATTAAACTTTAGGCTATATCGATACCTTTTAGCTGCACCTTACAGTCTATAAACAATGCATTACAGAAATTATAATTGTCAACACAAAAACCACGTAGCATATCATCGCTTTATTGCAAAAAGTTACCATGTATATTTTTGAAAACGTTAATTTTTTTTATATTCGAAACAAAACTTAAAGCTCTATATATTAATTCACCAACATAAGCTTACATCATGATCTAAACATCCCATGTGTCCTTGACATCCATTGGATTCACAAACTTTCACAAGATTCATCCAAATGTCCTAGCTCAGATTTTATACAGTACCCGTCATCCCTTTAATCCTCTTTGAAGATTAAAACGGCAGAGTCACCGAGATCTTTTGTAAATATTATATTGGAATTCTGGCTTTCAGAGAGCTAGAGTTCTACAGCCCTCGGTCTTCACATTTTGAGGACAAAACCTGGTTCAGAGTCTCTTCGGCGAATGTAAATATTATAATTGATTTATAAATTAAGTCATAATTTATTTATAAATATCCCTTAATTTGTGATGTTAACACATCATTTTACTTTAATTATTACTATTTAACGTGACCATTATTTGCTTTATATATTTGTTTTTTTTAGTTAATTTATATTTATTTTTTTGGTATGTATATGTTGTATGAATCAGAGGCGGATCTACGAGGGAGGGGCTTTCGGCTGAAGCCCCTCCCCAAAAATGGTAAAATATAATCATGTTTTACAGAAAAAAATATTTAAACTATCTCTTAAGTATTCTTGTTCGTTTAATTACATTTAATAGGACTTCAAGAACCACTTAAACACCATTTCATATAGGTAGTTAATTTCTTTCTTTTTAAAAAAATTAATTATCGTTATATATATATATATGAAATAATCATCCGGCTGAAGCCCCCCCCCTCCAAAAATTAAACTCTTTTAGTGGTATGAATCCTTTTTTTAATATTTTTTCCGCTAGTGGTATGATAGATGACTATAGCAATATTCTTTATTGCCCTTAGGCGTGGAACATTCTTTTAAGTTGTATAGGTGCAGACTTAGGGGGTGAGGATTGCCCCATCAATAAAAATGTTGAGGAGAGAGAATATCCTTTCGCCCACTCCAATAATTTGAGATAAAAAGAATTTAAGATTATGAATAAATAAGCTACATGAATGAATAAAATGTGTTAACTAAAATCGATTAAGAAAACTCGATTAGCTGGCTAGGCAAAGACCTAGCAGTAGGTATGAAACTATTTTGTTGATATCTAAATGTTACCTTTATTTAATTAGTCATTTATATTCAAGGATAATAATATATATCAACATATCCAAGGATTTTATGATTCAATCACCCCAATTTTGAGGTTTTGATTTCACAGAAGAAAAAAATCAACAAAGAATTAAGTGATTTAGTTTTCTAAAATGTTGTCTACTGGCTTTTTTTCAATAAACATGCGATATATAATTTTTAAAAAAATTAATAAAACATGAATTTAACTTACTTATATAAATCTCTCAAGACAAAAGCGAGAAGCAGATATGAGACCTGAAACATAAAAATAGTTTTTACTATTTATGAACATTTTTTTTATAATTTAAACAAGTATATATTATGTTAAAATGTTACATAGCCTATGTACTTAAGGGTATGATGAAATAATGAATCAATTATTGAATAAAAGGAGAAGTAACAATTATTATTCGATGGGTGTTTTAGGTATAGATGTTTTTGTTATTTTATTTTAAAAATGTTTGTTTTTGGTTTACTATTTTCAATAATTAACCATTGTAATCGAAAAAAAAAACTGAAACAGTTAATCCCCTATCAAAATTTGAAGTTTTACGTTTCAGGATATGTAGAATTGGAATACAATTTTGTTTGTCTGTTTGCCGTCCGCTCATTTTCTCCGAAACTGCTTGACCGATTTCTTTTTCAAACTTGGATTATCTATCTAACATACTTCAACGAAAAAAAGCTAGAAAAAAAGGTTACGAAGGATGGTAAAATTTGATTCCGAATAACTCAAAAAATATATTTGTCAATATTGTGATAAGATGTTTCAAAGGTATTTAAATATCTTAAAAAACGAAGAAAGTTTCATCGGAATCAGAGCACTAATGGTGAAGATATCGCGATTTTTAAATATTTTTTGTTTATTATTTTCAATAATGAACCACTGTAATCGAAAAAGATGTTTTTTTAAAAGTTTTGAGTTTCCTAAAAAGGAAAATAAAAAATAGGACAATTTGGAGCAAAGATATCGTCTATAGATGTTTTGTTATGTTATACTGCAATTCCTTGGTTTCGGATTTTTATTTTTGAATTCGTTACTGAAGTAATGCTATTTTTTTTTTTAGGAAATTACTAATAATGAAAAAAAATGTTTAGACAAATAATTAGAATTAAATTTTCATTTCTTTTAATTTGTCACTAGAAAGGAAAATATAAATGATGGGAAATAATAAACCATTGTGAAGTAATTTGCAGCGTTTTTTATTTTATATTATGCCAACGTTTCGGCTCAAGTTAAGATTACTAATACTATTGCTAATTATTATTACTTTTGCATAAAGTAAAAGAATTCATTCTTGGTGAATTCAATCCCCCAGTTATCTTCCAATTCAGACATAAATGAAAAAAAAAAAAAACTATAGTTAGGCTGCATTATAGTTTTTGCAAAACTAATAATTTAAAGATAAAACCATATATAAATATAAACTATATAAATATAAACCGTTTATAACTTAAATAATAATATTACAAGGATGAAGAGAACAAGGGATCAGTCGGGAGCAGTGATCGGGTTTCGATGTAACCGCAGGAAGTACTCCCCAGTTGGTACAGCGCTCCCGACCCGGAATCGACCCTCCTTCCGGTAGAAATTCGGAGATTGAGCTTTACCGACCGTGGTGGAATTGAGAAACAATCGAGAGGTCTTCCATCTTAGGGGGGGGGGAGACTTAATGGAGAACCTCGTTGTATCATAGTTTCCTGGAGTAATAGAAAAAGTATCGAGTAAAAAATAGAAAACCTCAAAACAACTTAGTGTACATCACAACATCCACAATCTTCTTTTCTCAATTCAGTTTTTTTAATTTAAAACTTCTCTTGTTGTGGAGAGTGGATTAGATTTAGAGATGGGCAGTACTCGATTACTTTCATGATTTGAGTAATTTTATTAGGAAAAAGTATCGAGTAGTTTCTGTACTCGGCCTGCCAGCGGCGAGTACTGAGAGTACTCACGCTGCGTCAATCATGATTTAGTTAAGTACAGAAAATACTCGCGCTGTTATATCGAATTACAGAAAGTACTCAGCCGAATTCCTACAAAGAGTACTTTTTATTTTTCAACTACTCCGTCATTATTATAAAGAGTAAAAATGTTTTCTTTTATTTCCTTCAATAATAGCAGCCATATTCGACCTGACCAACCCCGAGACCCCATTAATCGATATTAGACTAACCATCATGTTTTGGGGGGCCTTTTTTTATAAAAATATACTGTCGGATTTTAGATAGTGCCCCCGGGCATCGAATTTTCATAACTTTTTCGATTAAATCGATATCAGGGTCGACTATTATGTTTTGGGGGGCGCTTTTTATGAAAATGATATCGAATTCGAGATTGGGCCCCCCGGGCCCCGACTTTTTTTAACTTTTTGAATTAAATCGATATCAGGGTCGACTATTAGGTTTTGGGGGGCGCTTTTTATGAAAATGATATCGAATTCGAGATTGGGCCCCCCGGGCCCCGACTTTTTTTAACTTTTTGGATTAAATCGATATCAGGGTCGACTATTAGGTTTTGGGGGGCGCTTTTTATGAAAATGATATCGAATTCGAGATTGGGCCCCCGGGCCCGACTTTTTTTAACTTTTTGAATTAAATCGATATCAGGGTCGACTATTAGGTTTTGGGGTGTGCTTTTTATCAAAAAAAAATCCGACATCATTTTCATAAAAAGTGTCCCCCAAAACCTCATAATCAGCATTGATATCGATTAAATCCGAAAGGTTACAAAAAGTCGGGCCCGGGGGCACTATCTCAAATTATGAAATTCGTATCGATATCATTTTCATAAAAAGCGCCCCCCAAAACATAAGAGTCGACCCTGATATCGATTTAATCCAAAAAGTTAAAAAAAGTAGAGCTCCGGGGGGCCCAATCTCAAATTCGATATCATTTTCATAAAAAGCGTCCCCCAAAACATAATAGTCGACCCTGATATCGATTTAATCCAAAAAGATAAAAAAAGTTGGGGCCCGGGGGGCCCAATCCCAAATTCGATATCATTTTCATAAAAAGCGTCCCCCAAAACCTAATAGTCGACCCTGATATCGATTTAATCCAAAAAGATAAAAAAAGTTCGGGGCCCGGGGGGCCCAATCCCAAATTCGATATCATTTTCATAAAAAGCGTCCCCCAAAACCTAATAGTCGACCCTGATATCTATTTAATCCAAAAAAGTCGGGGCCCGGGGGGCCCAATCTCAAATTCGATACCATTTTCATAAAAAGCGCCCCCCAAAACATAATAGTCGACCCTGATATGGATTTAATTCAAAAAGTTAAAAAAAGTCGGGGCCCGGGGGTCCAATCTCAAATTCGATATCATTTTCATAAAAAGCGTCCCCCAAAACCTAATAGTCGACCCTGATATCGATTTAATCCAAAAAGATAAAAAAAGTCGGGGCCCGGGGGGCCCAATCTCAAATTCGATACCATTTTCATAAAAAGCGCCCCCGAAACATACTAATCGACCCTGATATCGATTTAACACAAAAACTTAAAAAAAGTCGGGGCCCGGGGGCACTATCTCAAATCCGACAGCATTATTATAAAAGTCAAGTGGTGTAAAAAAAAAAAAAAAAATGGTCCCCAAAGTTGATTAAATCCAAATTATTTTAATAATTCTTTATTTTTTCAATTTACATTAATATCGATACTATTTTAAAAAACTATACCCCCATAAGATAATAATGGACTTAAACATGGAAGAAATATTAAATATTCTACTCCTGTAATTTTTATAATGAAATACTCGATTACTTTGAAAAGTACTCAGAGTAAAATATTCCCGAGTAGATTTGAAAATAGGAAGTACTCACGAGGACAGCTGATTACTTTTTGTACTCGTCAATCATGAGGTCGAGTAGTGATTGCAGTACTCGATACTCGAACCGGGCGAGTATTTGAGTAAATTACTCTGTAATTGTACTTTTTACTCAGAGTACAATTTTGCCCATCTCTAATTAGATTGAGCCGTCAGATCTCCGTTGTATAACGCTCGGGTAAAGTCGACTTATTGAAGTATTTTTGCATATGGCTTAAAATATCTTAAGAACAAAAAATCGGACCTGCATATAGCAACCACGGGAAATGCTTATAACCTTTCATCATTTTATCCTTAGTGGTAAGCTATTATTCAAAATTTTATCATAAGACGACGCCGTGTAAGGGGGACGAAAAAGGAAAAAATAATGCCGAAAACCAAATGACAACGAGTTTTATTGAAGATATGGAATCAAATAACTCAAAAACTAAAAATCTGATCTGCATAATATAAGAGAGGGAAATGTTATTCTTCTCAAGGGACTGTGTCCCAGAATAAAGTTATTTTCTATCTAAAAAACAAAAAAAAATCTAATAAGTTTCAAGTTAGAAAAAAATCCAAAACTTTGAAAACCTGTATCTCAAAAATTATTAAACTTACCGAACCTTTATGATTAAGTCTTAAATTGTAATTTTTAGTTTAAAAATTTATAGAATATTTTTATCGAAAACGCGCTTCGTCGTGATGTCAGAATGAGGAAAACAAACACAAAAGTGCGAAACTATAGTAGATTTGGGGATTTTCAAAAGTGATCCAGGAGGATGGAAGGAACTTGCATTTCGTTTCTCAGTAACATCCTATATACAAGAAAATAAAAAGAAACTTTTTACTACTCCCATTCGATGCCACTTAGACCCATCTTTTCATGACAAGGTTACAAGGCTATTAAGGTTGGAAAACGAATGGTTGAAAATAATAACAATAAAAGGCTTAGCGAACCCGAAGGTTCGATGCCGACACCACCAATCGCTTATCACTCAACTACCTCCATCGTTCGCCGTCCAAACTCAGTCCTTTCAGATCGACTTTAATCGTCTTCCCACCTTCGCTTCGGTCTACCCCTCGGACGCTTACCATACGGTACAGCAAACATTAACCTTTTAGAAATTCTCTATTCTCTAATATACAAGCCCATTTGAGTCTGCGCAATGTAATCACCTCAAGTATATTAACTGGATACACTTCAAGCAATTCGACGTTTTGCAACCTTCTGAACTCTCCGGTTAACTCATCCTTCTTCGGTCCGAATATTCTACGCCATACTTTATTTTCAAAACCCTTAAGACGTTGCTCATCTCTTAATGTAAGCGGCCACGTATCGCACCCATGAAAAACTGTAGCTAGGATAATGGTTTTATAGATTATAGTCTTTAAATTCCGGGACAAGATGAGCGAGCCAAGTAGTTTTGTCAGAGAAAAGTAACAAGCATTTCCCGCCTTCAGCCTAACATTAATTTCCTCTTCAATTTCGTTTTTTCTAAATATCGTAGACCCTAGATACCTAAACTTCTTTACCTGTTCAAACACGTTGCCTTCTATATCGATATCACCAGTAATATCGCTATTTTTGCAGCTAACCATATATTTTGTCTTATCCGTGTTTATTTCAAGCCCTAGTTCTTTACCGGCTTTCATAATGGTGAAAATAACATTTAATAATTTTTTTAAGTCACAGTGATGTATTAAAGAGGGTAAATATTAGTTTGTCTTATTAGATCAAAAATTGAATTATTTAATAAAGTTGCTAAGTGATGGACGCAGTACCAGTTTTTTTTTTTAAGTAAAAGATATCTGCAGTCCCTGAACGCAGAAGTTGCACTTAAGGCCAGCTGACAAGAGGCTGAAGACGGAAGCATTTAGTATAATCTGCAAGACGGCCTTGGTAATTGGCGGGTAATTATAGAGAGTGGTAGCGAGCACACTATCGCCATTGTGGAGAACACCTGGCGGGCGAATATTAAACTGCCCTGGCCGAGAATAGACCGGGCAAACACCATCGATCATCTCGGAGGGCTATAAGCTGATGGGTTCCTGCCGCTCCAGATCGGGTCCGAGATGTCTGTCAGGAACCGGGAGAGGTCGTGGGCAGAGCGCACGATCAAACGAAGGGAAGAGGATCGCCTGTCGATATAATCGGTTCCTGTCAATGGTTACGGATATCTTGGGAACGATATCGAAAACGTAATTCATATTAGCTTTGTAACCGAGCTTAAGAAAGTCTTGAAAAAACAGAACCCTTCTTTTTTTTTTTTTTACTGATTATTCAATATATACGGTGTGAATGTGTTCATTTATCAATATAATTATTGTCCCTGTGACAGAATATTATATGTCTAAATAAATAAATAAAAATTATTCAATAACGTTAATGAAAGCCGGTAAAGAACTAGGGCTTCAAAGAAACACGGATAAGACGAAATATATGGTTAGCTCCAAAAATGGCGATATCGCTGGTGATATTTATATAAAAGGTAACATGTTTGAACAAGTATTTATAGTATTTGTAGTATGTTTGAACAGTTATTTGGTAACTGTATTTGAAAAGTTTTAAGTATCTAGGGTCTACAATAACTAGAAAAAAAAAATGTTGAAGAGGAAATTAAGGTTAGCCTGAAGAAGGAAAATGCTTGTTATTTTTCTGTGATAAAATTACTTAGCTCGCTAAAAACTAGAATCTATAAAACCATTGTCTTACCTACAATTCTTTATGGATGCGAAACGTAGCCGCTTACATTAAGGGATGAGCTAAATGTAAACTTATAATTTTTTTTTTTAATTCGAAAAAGTATTTAAAACCCACAGTTTGAAGACAATGACATTGTTTAAGATATTATTTTATTCTACATGTGTGAAAGAAGAAGTGAAATATAAAAATATTTCATGGATATGTTTATAACCTTAAATATATTTATTGTAGTTTAATAATGATATTATGTTTAAATGATTAGCTAGTATCGTCCGTTTGTTCCGAAAAAAAATTATTTAACCTTTTAGAAATTTAAATTAGTGATAATTTGATAAATTTTCCCTTTGCGATATTCCAACAGAATCCACTTACAATCAGTGTGACATATTTTGACCTGTCTATGACAGACAATGCAAATCTCTTAATTCCGTTTTAGTAAACTTTGCAATGGAAAATAACAGTTTAATAACTAATAGTCGTACAATCCAAAATCAACCGGTGTCATATAATGAAATATAGGACTTTTGTTATTTTAATTGTATTTATGATTTGTCAGCTGTAATCTTTTAACTTTAGTTCAGTTAAAAATGCAATTCAAAATTTTTATAAAAGCCCAACATGGCCAGAAAATAATTTCTATTCAAAGTTAAGCGGTAAGTGAAAGTTGTGTGTTGCGCGCACCAGATTTTTTTATTATACCATAGCCACTCCTTCATCAGAGACTTCATCTTATTCAAAGTGCTTATACACGATGTATAATGGACATAGACAATAAGAGAAGAGAGGTCTGACTAGACTAAGACAGGAATGTTATCACGAACGGCTAGTTGAGTTGTGCTACGGCCTGGATGTGGGCCAACTTGCCTCATACCGTTATGTGCCTAACAAGGCCACGGTCTCTACACATCTCTAAGCTTTATATAATAATACAATACACAACTAGTATCTTCCTCAAAATGATAATAAGCTTTTACAGATAGATAAATATATATTGGATACGGTAGGATGGATGTTAGCATGCTTGTGTTACTAATAACGTGAGATTACAGATGAGGAGTCACCGATTTCAATGAGACTAATTTGGTGATACTAGGTCGAAAAATATTAGACCATGTCCGAGAGTTCTTGTCAATGCGTCCTAAGAGACGAGAAAAAAAACATAAAATTTTATTATTTTTTTTATATTATTGTTTTATGACTTTCCATGGTTTTGTAAGTTATTATATATCAATAGATTTTTTTTTTTTGAGGGAGTGGGGGTAAAATAATAAAAATTGGTATTGCTAATTGTATAAAACGAATTCTATTGTATAATAAATTATAAAAACCTAAAGACATTATCAGGTATGTAGGCTCAGTAAATTTTTGTCATGAAAAAAAGTATCAGATTATTTTTAAAAAAGTAAGCGTGCTGCAGAAGCTCATAGAAAAATTGGCAGTGTTTATGGGAATGATGCATTAAACGAATACACCTGTCAAAAGTGGTTTGCTAAATTTCATTCAGGAAATTTTGACATCAATGATGCTCAGCAGTCTCGTCGCACCCATGAAATTAAAACGAGCAATGTTAAGGCCATTGTTGATCAAAATCCCACCCAATCAGTGCGAGATATTGCTATGGCCCTAAATGTGTCGTACACAAACGTAGAAAACCATTTCCATAAGCTCGGCTATGTTTCCCGGCTTAATGTTTGGGTCCCTCACACGATTTTGTTTTTCTCGAAAATCACAACCCTATGTTATAACTTCAATACGATTTTAGCTATCTACAAGACATTTAGCAAAAATTTAGGCCACGTAAACTATACAAAATGATATCAACATAACCTACGTAAACAAAATACAAATGGAGATAAAAAATAAAAACCTAAAAGGAATTTTTGTTTATTTATTCCTTATGAAGGCAATAAAACAAAAACCATTCATACAGCATTGAAGAAGAATAATTTAGCTTTCCAATCGATATAGTAATATCAAATTTGGAGAACATCCTGAAGAGTTATGAATGATCGGAAGGGTATTGTGTTCTACCAAGACAACGCTAGGCCCCACACCTCAGTGATCACTCGCTATAAGTTATTGAGCCTTGGATGGGACATTTTGCCCCACCCTCACTATTCACAATACCTAGCTCCAAGTGACTACCACTTATTTCGGTCTCTGCAGAAGTCCACGAATGGAAAGAAATTTCAAAAGGAAGGGGGACATCAAAAACCACTTGAACCAGTTTTTTTAACAAGAAACACCAGACATTCTATAAACATCGTATGCAGTTAGTGGAAAGATGGAAAAAATGCATATTAAATATTGTTCAATATATTGTAGATTAAAATTAATTTAATGTCTATAATACAATGAGTTTTATTTGACCTTGAAAAACCGAAAGGACTTTTTTGCCAACCCAATATGAAGCATCTATAATGTGTGTTTTATATAATATTAATTATAAAATATAATCCTAATTTGAAATCAATATTGATATTACTCATGCATCAGTAAAGCAAGAAATCAGTCGCTGAATAAATGTAATTCCTCATATGAATGAATACTCTTGCTATATAAATAGTCCTGCTTATCAGGGAGGTTTTAGCGATTTATGTTAATAGACATTGAACGTAACTTTCTGGAACGACTGCAATCTTTAATTAGTTTAATAATAGTTTAGTGATGTTTAATATAGGTTTAGTGTTGTGCAGAAAATCAAAATTCCCCCATTTCATCGGACAGTGTTCGTTCAGAGCTGTGACTCATGTTATTTTCGATCTGGATGGGACAATTCTAGGTAAACTTATACTACAATAAAAATTTAACATTCAACAAAAAAGGTCGAATTTACCCTCAATTCTGTTATTAAAACCTAGTTTATTCTATCGATTAATAACTCAGACAATTAATAAAAATTTTAACCCAACTGACCTGCTGATGATCAACTGATTTGATAGATTTCTTTCACATGGTTTGTTATATTTTTTATAATTTATCTAAAAGCACTTGGGTACAAATTCCGAATGGCTATAACAAGATGGTTTGTTTCACGATCACTTTGAGCACACTGTAGATAGGATGCCGAAAATACCCGAGTGGGTTCGAAAGTAGACGTAGACGACCGATTCGTTATCAAAACATTTTATGTTAGGTTAGGTTAATCAGCTATTCTTTATCACGTTCACTTCTTTGTATATTAGTCCGTGGTACAGACCCATTTTTATCAAATTATTAACAACAGCCTGAAACTTCGTGAATAGCTTCATCTCATCGTAACTTACAACTATTTTATTTACGAAAACTCTGAGAACTGTGTCGTTTTCAATCTGTAAGTCGGCAAACTTTTTCTATTTAATTAGGTACTAAAAACACGCAAATACCCATTTGCTTTTGACTTGTATCGTAAGATAATTTGATCATCAAATCGAGAAAAAAGGTGGCCTACAAAAAATATTGTGCCGTTTGGCATATACAACCCCGTTCTTCTGACATTTTTAGGGGTTGCATTGTAGATCCCGCCAAACGGCTCAATATTTTTTGAGGTCACCTTTTTTCTCGACTTTCTGCTCAAATTATCTTACAATCCAAGTGGAAAGCAAATCGGTACTTACGAGTTTTTGTAACTATTCAAATAGACAATTTTTTGTATTATTCTTAAAATTAGCCGCCTTTTAAGCTTGCTTAGCAATTAATTGCTCCACTCGGCAAAGTGGAGTGCCATTGTAACATTACGTTTAAACTCCGATACTAGGCAAAAAACGTACTTTTGGTATTTTTCGTTATTACACAGCTATATATCATTATCTTAGACAACATACATATGTATACATTGGCTTATATTATATACGTATATATATTGCCTTATAAGATGATTAATCGTTATGTAATAACGATATTATAAGGTAAAAATTATTATAAGGTAATTTAATATTAAAGAGCTATCTTTTTCAACGACTTTTAGGTTATGCTAAACGGTTCAATATTTTTGAAGGCCATCTTTTTTCTCGATTTTCTGCTCAAATTATTTTACGATTAAAGTGGACAGAAAATGGGTAATTTACGAGTTTTTTTGGATCTAATTAAATAGACAAAGTTTGCCGATCTTCAGATTGAAAACGCCCCAATTCCGAGAATGTTCGTAAATAAAACAGTTGTAGTTTACGATAAAACGAAGCTATTTACGAAGTTTCAGGCGTACCTGGGAGATACGACAACATGTCATGTCTGTCCACTTTTTGATTAAATAATTTATTAACTAAGAAACATATTTTAATAGCTCATAGATATGGAAAATAGGTATCGCTGAACAAATTCGAAAATGTGACATGGTGTCCTTTATCCCAAAAGTACAGATTTATTAACAAAGACCCTCGGTTTGCTGGTGTTCGTCAAGGTATTATCCTAGGTCCTTTACACAGTTTATACAGCTGGCATCCCGATCCAATTTAACACTATCCATTTATTGCATCCCAAACTCTTCAATCACACATCACAAGTCTTAAAAAATGGTGTCAAAACTGGCGGATTATAATAAATCCCATAAAATTCCCTTCACTCTTCGTCGTAAACCAAGAACTTCCTGTCCTACAGTATCCTTTAATAATATCCCACTTAACGCTGTTGAACAAATCCGATACGTAGGACTCCATCTGGACAAACGACTAACTTGGAATCCTCATACTAGACTGAAACGACTAGAAACCGCCCGACGTTTCCGACTACTGCAGCACTTACTGGACAAACGCTATAAACTTCCAATTAATTACAAAAGACTCATATATAATACTATAATAAGGCCTATTTGGACTTACGGGATCGAGCTTTGGGGCTCTACTAAACCATCAAATTCCTTTCGTATCCAATCCTTACAATCCAAAATCCTCAACGCTCCTTACTTTTTCACAAATAAAATCATCCATAAAGACCTTAATGTACCATATGTTTCTGATTTAGCTCAATCCGGATACCTATCATTCCATAATAAACTTCTGAACCATCCGAACCCTCTTATTTCCAACCTTGCTTCCTCTTTTATCAGTGATAAACCTCCGAGGCGTCTGAAAAGAAGATGGCCTCGGGACCTTCTAATATAGAAATATAATTGGAGTGCTACCAATGGGTAGTTTCTCAACATGCTGTACATGTCATGTTACATGCTCAAATTTACTTCTTGCATTTATCATTTATACAGTTGTAAATTTCAATAATAATAATTAAAAAAAATAAAAAAAGTAACAAAGAAACATACTTAATAGCTTAAAGTCATAGAAATATTTGACTAATGTAGATAAATAGTTTGTTGTTAATTGAATAATAAAATGATATAATATTTTAATAAATTATTATTAGATAGCGAAACCCTTTACGAATTGATGTACAACAAGATTTTGAGGAAGTACGGCAAGGAGTTCAACAAGGAGGTGCGGACAGCCATCACGGGTACCAACGAGCAGTACGCCAGCCGAAAAGTCGTGGAAATGCTGGAGTTGCCGATCACCCCGGAGCAGTACTGGAAGGAGATCGAGGAGCTCGGCAGGATACACCTCACCAATCCTGGAGTCAAGCCAGGTAAGGGGAGGATAAGGAGTTGGTCTCGCGACCCATTAGAGATGATTTATTATATAAAGAGTCAGTCGGCAGGAACACGAATCAAACTCCAGGAATGGGTTACTCACAGGAAAATAATTAAAAAACGTCTGCCATATAAGATCAGTATAGCTTCCTCACCGTTTTCATTGGCTAAAAAAAAAATTATATTACAAGTTCTAATATTTTTCGTATGAGAATAAAATCTCTGGGAGAAGCCGTTTTTAGTAATCCCTGAAAACACACCAACATATACACTAGCGGATCCAGGATTTAATTTTGGAGGGGGCTTCAGCCCGAAAGCTTTTTTTTCATAAAAATTACGATAATTGCTTTTGAAAAAAAGAAAGAAACTAACTATCTATATGAAATGGTGTTTAAGTGATTCCTTATGTCATTTTAAATGTAATTACACGAACACTTACGTGTAATACTTTAAGAGATAATTTTTTAATATATTTTTCCATAAAACATGGTATCGAGGTATATGTGCGCAAAGAGGCAGTATGCGAGTTACCAAAAGGCATATATTATATTTTACCATTTTGTGGGGGAGGAGGCTTCCGCCCAAAATCCAAACATGCGGTTTTTAAGATATAGGCGTATCACATAAAATACGTTTGGGGATTTGTAAAATAAAGCGGTAGACGGAATTCAACGAAATTGATACAGCTTTATTTTTTACCAGAGTCAAAGATATTTCTGAAATATTGGCATAAGTGCGTACACAGAAGTGTTGGAATACACAGAATTTTATTAAATTGATAAGGGACCATCTAGAAAAAAAGAAAGAAACTAAGTATCTATATGAAATGGTGTTTAAGTGATTCCTTATGTCATTTTAAATTTAATTACATGAAAAATAATACTTAAAGAGATAATTTTTTAATACATTTTTCCATAAAACATGGTGTCGAGGAATATGTGCGCAAAGAGGCAGTATGCGAGTGAGCAAAAGGCATATTTTATATATTGCCATTTTGTGGGGGAGGAGGCTTCCACCCGAAAGCCGAACGTGCGGTTTTTAAGATAAAGGAGTATCACATAATATACGTTTGAGCATTTTACGTTAGGGTTAAAATAAAGCAGTTGACGGAATTCAATGAAATTGATACAGCTTTATTTTTTTACAAGCGTCAAAGATATTTCTGAAATATTGGCATAAGTGCGTACGCAGAAGTGTTGGATGGAATTTTATTAAATTGATATGGGACCATTTAGACACCAATGCGCATATTCCCTGAAAAAATCATGAAAATCGAATAAACGGTAGGTGAAATGACAGTCACATCGATTTGACAACAGACAGAGATGATAGTTCAATGATGAACTAAAAGTAGTCAATCGAGATACAGTAATTTAACGTATTAAAAGTGATGCTGGCGTTATTAAAAGAATATATCAATCGATCGGGAGGACAACTGTAGCCCTCTGAAAAGGAAACCAAAAATATTTAGAAGCCAATGGTGGTATTTAGGAACATTTATTAAAACAAAACTTTGATAACCGAAATGCTAATACATTTAAACAAATTATCATCGTTTAGGAACATAAGTTTTCAAAACTATTTTCACGTATGCAACCCATTCCTAGAGTTTAGTTCTTTCCTCCCAACTCACTATACATAAACGTATGTAAATGTATACCTATCGATAATTCCAGTACCTAACATTCCTACTTGTACCTGATCCTCTGTTGGTTAGGAGCAGAGAGATTGATCATGCACCTCTCTGAGAAGAAGGTTCCCCTGGCGATCGCTACCAGCGGCTCCTTGAAGGGCTTCAAGCTGAAATCAAGGGGCAGACCCGATCTCTTCGCCCACTTCCACCACATCGTCCACGGCAGCTCTGATCCGGAGGTCATCAACGGCAAGCCGGCGCCGGACATCTTCCTGGTCGCTGCGAGGAGGTTCCCGGTCCCTGCCGATCCGAAGAAGGTAAGGAAGGACTTGGATGTAATGTAAGTTCATTCCCTCACACAGCAGTGACATAGCTCTTATTCTACATCACTCACAGGAATGAACTAGTTATTTTAGATTACTATAACTAGTTCATTCGTAAATCGAGGGATTTTTTTTACAGAGACACAATTTTGTATTTAAATGCATTAGTTAACTGCATCCTCCTGTAAGAGAAAAAAATAGTTCCTTTCTTCATTTGATGAACAATGATTAGGAGGAAGAGTTAGGTGAACATCGGAGGTCGAAACGTAGATTATCCAGGTTCATGCCGTGGATCCACCAATAAATAAATTTTAACCAGCACAGACTGGATTCGAGCCGGGATCACCTCTAACTCCAGCATGGTAAACATTTATCCGTAAATACAGTGGCCACATTTTCAATCGAAAAAAAAAAACGCACGGAAACATCCCATAAGTTATATATATTTGTTTTTCCTTTTACGTATTCATAGTTTTCCAAAACAATATTCTTAAACGATAAAGGAAATGTTCCAAGAACTTTCATGAATTTCTCATGGATCAGGAATGGAACACCCCAAAGGGTAATTTTTGAGGGGACACATTTTAACGGAATTTTGAATTTTCGAGGACTCTTTTTTAGGGGGTTATGAATTTTCTGAATGGAAAGTTTCAAGTAATTGTATATGATATACCATTTTTCTAATTCTACTTTCGCTAGCACTGTTTTTAAGAAGAGGAGAGAAATACAATTTATAAAAAAAGAGAGCGGGAGGTTCATGCGGCATCAACCTTACGTTCATCTCTGCGTGTCGTTGGCTGTTTCTTTTCTGCATGCACTATCCGTCATGTAAAGGCTTCCAGATGGATTGCTATGAGCTACCTGTCCCGCCGATCTTAACCTCCTTGTTTTCATATCATGAGATATTGATCGACCAGTTTCTGTAAGGAGCTCTTTATTGGTCTTTCTTCACTAAGGGTTAGTGCTCTGATTCCTGATATCTTTGTAATTAATAATTACAATATATCAGATTAAGTTTAGATAGTTGAGGTATTTAACTGTTTTTTAAATGTAGTTTTCGATATATAGTTACTTGAAATAAATTCGATTATTGGAGATTAGAACTATCGATGCAATAAGTACATATACTATTAATCGATATTTACATCCATATTGCTCTCATTGAATTAGAGTACTCAAAACGTTGCAGTGCCTTGTGTTCGAGGACGCTCCTAACGGACTGCGGGGGGCGGTTGACGCCGGCATGCAGGTGGTGATGGTACCCGAGTACGACTGGGCGAAAGAGGACGTCCAGGACGCCGCCCTGATCTTGAAGTCGCTCGAGGAGTTCGTACCCGAGCAGTTCGGCCTCCCGGGATATCCCACCAACAGCCCGGAGAACCTCCTCAAGACTAACGCAGCCAAACCATCTGATAAAGTTGTCCATTAGACAGTCTTAAATACAAATATCTAATTGTTTTTTGTTTTTTTAAATCGACGATATTGCACATTTTTATTTTTATTTAAACGTTTGAGGCAGTGAGACCAACTCTCAATTCTAAGATGCTTGCTCAGTCAAATTTGCCACAGGAAATTTGATAAAACCATCATAACATCATGAAATGGCTACATTATCTCTTAATATAAACTAAAAATTTAATGAAAGGAACATACGGCTTGGTAAAATATTTATAGAGCTTAACTTAGTCGACTTTTCCTATTTTCTTAATTATTTTAGTTTACATATATTATTTATTCATGTATGTCGTTTAACACTTGAGAATGCCGTAAGAGGCGCTAGTTTACGAGAACGACAAGGGAACATATATACCAGTTTTTTTCCAACTGTTGGCCTACACTGATGAATGATTGGACTGGTGTTGCCCAAAAAGAGGAGCCTTAGTCTTGGTCTTGGTCTTGCGCAAGAGTCTTGAAGTTACCAATTAGCTTATTAGTTTAGAGATATACTATAAATTTTTATATAAAAGAAATCTAACTAAGCCTGAGTGAAAAATTAGAAGAGTTAAATGCAAAAGTATATTGGTTATACCAATTGTTAACATATAGTAATTAAGATTGTCAAGTATTAGCAACTATTTTGCCTTAATTTTTATTTTCCTAGGTCCTATCCTTTACACAGTTTATACAGCTGACATCCCAACCCAATCCAACACTGTCATCACCACCTATGCCGATGACACGTGTATCCTATCAGTTAATAACGATCCATCTATTGCATCCGGACTTCTCAATCACAAATCACAAGTCTTGAAAAATGCCGTTAAAACTGGAGGATTAAAATAAAAGCCAATAAATCTCAACCAAATTACCTTCACTCTTCGTCGTAAACCTATGACTTCCTGTCCTACAGTATCCTTCAACAATAGCCCTCTTATCCCTGTCGAACAAATCCGATACTTAGGACTCCACCTGGACAAACGGCTCACTTGGAACCCCCATACCAGACTGAAACGACTAGAAACCGCCCGAAGTTTTCGACCACTGCAGCACTTACTAGACAAACGATCTAATCTTTCAATCAATTATAAACGACTCGTATATATGACAATAATAAGACCTATTTGGACTTACGGAATTGAGCTTTGGGACTCCACTAAACCATCGAATTCCTCTCGTATCCAATCCTTACAATCCAAAATCCTTCGTAAAATCCTCAACGCTCCTTATTTTATCACAAATAAAATCATCCATAAAGACCTTAATGTTCCATATGTTTCCGATTTGGCCCAATCCAGATACCTGTCCTTCCATAACAAACTGCAGAACCATCCGAATCCTCTCGTTTCAAACCTTGCTTCCTCCTCGATCTCTGATAACCCTCCGAGGCGTCTGAAAAGAAGATGGCCTCGGGATCTTCTAATATAAAACTTTAATTTGAGTTCTACCAATGGGTAGTTTCTCTTCATATTGTGCATGTCATGTAACCAATTTCACATTTACTTATTGTATTTTATATGTAATACAGTTGTAAATTCCATTAAAATAATACAAAAAAATATTTAAAAAATCTATTTTTTTACCAGTCCTGGTCTTGGTCTTGCAACAGTTAGGTAGTCTTAGTCTAAGTCTTGCAAAGTCCAGGAACAATACCAATTTTAGGCAACACTAATATGGACATTGTGCAATGCTCTCTGCAGTCCATGCCAAAGAACTTGGACTGGATGTTAATGATTAAATTATCTTTGAATGTTAAACTTAAATATCAATGATCTTGATGCTTCTAGGGCTTAGCTTAGCCATCTAGTCGAATTTTCCTATTTTCTTAATTAGTTTTAATTTACATATTTTATTCATTCATGTAGATTAAATTAACTAAGCAACTGCGAAATAATGTTCTCGCTTCCCTCTCCCCTCCACCAAAGTCTGCGCCTCTATGCACAGTATTGAAATTATGCATATACGTATTATATTACAGCTATTCTTTCAAAGCATTTGTAGCACTAATACTTATTGTACTTTGGATTAAAATATCTCAGAAACTAAAAATCAGACCTGCATAGATAGATAGATAGAAAGTAAACTTTATTCTGGGACAAGGTCCCTTATGAACAACAATTATGAACAAAAAAATAAAAACTACATCTGGCCAAAAATTACATTAATCAATATTAAAGAATATATACAGTATCTTCAGAAGTTAAATTAAAACAAGTAAAAATAAAATAAAATTTTGAGAAAAACGAAATAAAAAAAAACATTATTTAAATGAAAAAAAAAATAAATAAATAAAATAAGCATGGGTTGATTTTTAAAATTAAGACTCAATAAATTTTATCAACCATTCACCTCAGTCAAAATCTGTTTCGCAATATTTATTTCATTGTATAACGTCATTTTGGGATGTGAGAAGGAATTGGTAAAGATGATATTTAAATGAGGACAAGGAGGAGGCATGGCGGATTTTAGATGGCAAGGAATTCCAGAAGGCTGTGGATCGGGAAATAAAGGAATATTCAAACGTCTTAGTTCTATGGGAAGGGATATAAAGGTCGGAAACACGGGATCTTGTTTTCTGGGAGTGGATAACGGGTTTGAACTGTAGGAGACTGTAGATGTAAGAAGGGTGTCTGGTGTTGATCGTTTGGAATAGGAAAGATCCGAGGAAATATTGTCTGCGGAAAGAAGGGAAGAGCCACTTTAACTTGATGATCGCCTTGATGTACCGAAGACAAATCTTAAGATTTGCACGTATTCATGAGTCGCTTCAATCTATCCTCGAGTACCATCGGGATGCCTCCGTACACCACACAGCCGTAGTCAAAATGGGGGAAAATGAGAGAGGATACAAGGAGCTTGCGGATGGGTTGTGGGAGTAGGTGGCGGGAGCGATGAAATAGCTTAATTGCATACTGTAGTAAGCAAGTTAAATGTTTTTCAACCTCTTTGTAATGATGTATTATTATATTGTATCTTAACGAGAGGCAGTGTTAGAGAGGCGAAACGCGAATAACATAACGTCACTAGTGTGTTTATACTAGAATAGAGGAAAAAAAAAAAATTCAAAACAATTCAGTCCACCAGGAAATTAATTTCAACCAGCCCAGGCCTAAATCGAACTCCAGGTCGCTACCCTTGAGAATGTTTATGCGGGCAACGCTTTAACACGGTCGGTTACCAAGGGTTCGCTGTCCAAGTTCGTTACCCTCTGTATAAGATTCTCATCGTAACGTCTTTAATATAAATGACGCATCCCCCAAACTAGAACTCCCTCCCCCTCCATCTCTAAGATAGAAAGGAGGAAGTTGTACAATTGAGAAATGACTCGGAAGAGAAAAGAAGGGAGGGAAGTCTAAGGAAATTAGAAAAAGAGCTATTGTGATTGAAATCGGTCAGGAGGGAATGAAATGGCGAATGGCGAATAAATCGAGGGAGGGGGGAGGGGAATTGAATTCAATTTCAGCCTCCTCTTTTAAAATCAAGTGAATCCAGGAGGCATTGCCTGCAGAGGCTCAGTTAGGTAATCTACTACCACTAGTAGATCCAGGATTTACTTTTTTTTGGAGGGGGGATGGGTTCAGCCCGTAAGATTTTTTTTTTTTAAATATATAACCCTGATTACTTAGGAAAAAAATAAAGAAACTCAATACCTATATGAAATAGAGTATAAGTGATTATTTAAATACTATTAAATGTAATTACACGAACAAGAATACTTTTAAAGAAAGGAGGTGGTCCGGGGTGGCGGTCATAAATAGGCTAAATAGTGGCAAAACTATTTTATTAAAAGCCAACGTATCGACCAGACTTTGCAGATCTTCTTCAGGACTAGAACGAACAAGATACAAAAAGATAAAGAGAATTGTGGAAGTTACATAATATTAAGATAAAAGATTATAAACAATGTGAATAAGCTTATTACAATTATAAACATTAAGTACATTAAAATATAAACAGAGTAAATAGATGTTAACTCCGGACCATCTCATTAATTTATAATTCATCGGTCAACTTTTAAATATTTATTAAGACTACTTTTAGTGGTAATTATTATATATTTTTTTCAAAAGACATGATTATATTTTACCATTTTGTGGGGGCTTCAGCCCGAAAGCCCCCCTCGTAGATCCGACTGTGTCTACAACTGGAATAATCAAAAGTTCAATATATATGTAAATCAAACGACAGACATGTTTTTTTTTATCTTTATATTGAAAAATATTACATTTTGTTACACTTAAAGACGCTGAATATTAGAGCTGAGTGAGGCACATTCATACCATATATACAACATAAAAAATAAAGTAAATATATATATATATATATATATATATATATATATATATATATATATATATATATATATATATATATATATAAATAAATATATATACATATATATATATAACAAAAGAAAAACTATAATAAAACCAAAGAGATGTAACTTAAAGTGAAATAAAATAAAATCCATATATCCATAGCAAACATAAATAAATATTAAGTATAAGAAAAAATAGATAAATAAAAAAAAAATTCATACTTAATTCCAATATTTACAATGAGCTGAGGAATCTCCAAGTCCAGCCTTTTCCCCTATGTTTGGAGGACAAGGCGAGACTCATGAGATCCCAGCGCTTCTCTCTCGGTCGCTTCACCGGCATTAGAGACGTGATAATAAAAAAAAATGTAATAAAAAAAAAGTGGAACAGAACCATTTACAAACCAGATTCGAAATTAGAAACTAATCGAACGAGTAGTTTTTTAAATATAAGTGTGTCTTATTACGTTTCGCGTATAGTAGAATTTCATAAAATTGATCTAGGTACAATCTGTAAATGGTATTAATGGTAGTAGGCGATAGATATGCACATCGCCTATAATATTTCGACAGCCACACTACAAAAACCTGTAAAGACAATTTTTTTGGAAAATGAGGTTTTGAGAGCTTTTCATCATTTCTACAAAATTAATTGAGTAAAAAAAAAATCAGTCTTTTAAGAAACAAATACAATGTTTTAGAGGAAATATTTTTTAAGCTTAATTAAGATTTTTTATTCCAGAAAACTAAACTTTTAGTAATTTATTTTTATCACTTTTATTTTATTTTCATAAACTCAGAAGAGATACAAGTTGATGCTTGACATTTTAAACTCTGTTTTCTCTATTATAAAATAAAGTAGTTTCTCATAAGTAATCTAGTTTCTTAATAACTGTAAACAGCATCATTATTATCAATATGACATCAACTTTGCCATTTGTGGTTAATAAATGCTCTTTTAAGTAGCACCAAGGGTCGATTGAATTAGTGCCTGTCAGTCAGATCTTGAACCAGATGTATATATTACAAATAGTACAAACAGTATTGGTACATTTTCCTCTTAAAAAGAGCACTGTTGTATGTCCATTTTGATTAAATTTTATTCATTACCCTTGTCTGATTTCAATATAACGAATAGTGCCGTTATTGGCAATCAAAGATAGATTAATACAGCGACCGTGATCGTTCATAACAACGAAGTTTACCCTTTCAAGGTATAATTGAACACATCCGCTATGATAAAAAAAAGTAATAATAAATTAAATCAAAGTGAATAAATGATATAAAATTATATTAATATTTATGGTTAGAGAAAAAATCTCAGCAGGTAATTTGTTATGATTTTTCCTTTTTTATTTAGTTTTAGAGAAAACAGAATTCTACAGAAGGATCTATGCCGTTCTTGATTAGTAGATTTAAAACACATATAGTATATTTTTTGCAAATTTCGGATTGAAATTACTACACTAGATCTCCTCCCCATAACTAAATCTTCGAAAACTTAGTTGTTGTTTTTTTTTGGTACAATATATATTTAATAAATAAGTAATTTATTAGCTAATAGGTCTACGGAAAATGAAAAACTCCAACATATTTTCAAATTTAATGAAAAAGACATTAACAAGATTACTGACTTTACGAATAATGCGGGTTTAAAATACTTTAAGTGAATCCTTAGATAATATTTTCAATAAATTTGACAAACATATAAAAAATTGGGAAAATTCCTTAAGTCATCGATATAACGATATCAACTGCACATTTCCTTCCAATTTAAAAAATATATTTTCTTACTAAAAAAATTTCCTAAACATTTTCCCCTGAGTTTTCCCATTTTTTCAGTTTGGACGCCACCGATGGAAATATAACGATCCATTGATAATTTATCGATATACCATCGATTTTCATGATAATTTTTACGAATAATGTATACCGATTTATCAATTAGCAGCGAATACCGATAACCAGACAATAACCTTTTTTTTCTTTTTAATTATTTAAAAAAATAATTAAAATGAAAATCTTAAGTTTTACTAAACTAAGGGTAACTAGACTGACTCACAGTTACAGAAATTCTAAACCTAAAAACCCTGCTTCCCATGTGATCTTCGACCTGGACGGCACATTGCTAGGTAGCTCTCTGCACACTAACAGTAACCTATCACATCTTATAACAGCCGTAATCTCCAAGAGTATTGTTTTAGACACGGAAAATATCTACAGGGATATCTTCAAGGAGACGATGAGGGAAGAATTCGGGATAGAGTACGACGACGAAACCCACAAGGTTCTTGCGGGATTGAAGAATATTGCGCGCTGCAAGTACATGGTTGAGAAGTTCGGCCTGCGGATGACTGTCGAGGGATTGGACCGTCTTACTAAGAATAAGAAAATGGATGTATTCTCAAATACCAAGTTAAAACCAGGTAATATTGGTTAAGTAATACACAGTGAACCCCCATTAACGGACATTACATAAAAGGATAATTTTAGGTATAGCCCGGGAGGCCGTGGAAAAAAAGGTGTCTTATTTGATGCTAAGGTTTGTCCTAAAATAAATTGACCATATTTACATACCTCATCACGTAATCTGAGGATTACTTATCGTTGCTGACACCAATTTAGCTCAGTTGTAAACAAAGAAACAGCATAGATATGCTTATTTCGACATTGTCATTTAAAATATTGGGCATCAAGAGAAAAATGTAGATATAATAATTACTTCCTAGTGCCTAAAATCAGTTTAGACCAAAGTTAGAAAAATATAAGTCAACTACATACAAAAATCTAGGAAAAGTAGTTGCGACAACAATCAATTTGTTAAGAAAAATGGAAAAATTAATGACAAAAAAAAACACAACAGTTAAAGATTTTTTTTCTATAAGTAAACTGTGAAGTTTCCACTTTTTTTTCTCTTCAATTTATTGCCTACTTGAGTATTTAAAGAAAAAATAGTTGAAAATGGTTAATAAAAATATAGACAAGGGATATAAACAACTATTTACTTTTATGAAATTATTTACTTAAAAACGAGACCTAGGTAAACTAACCTATCTAGTAGTAAGGTTAGTCTCATAGAAAATCGTTTTGACAAAAGTTAGTAAAATATAAGTCTACTACTTACAAAAATTAAGGAAAGGTATTGCGAAAATAATAAATTTGTTGAGGAAAATGGGAAAAGAACTGATAAATATACACAACGTTAAAGTTTTTTTTTTTCCTAAAGTAAATTGTGAAGTTTCCTCATTTTTTTTTTTAATTTGTTGCCCACTTGACTATTTAAAAGAAATAGTTGAAGATGGTTTAAAATTATAAACAAGAGATATGAAAAATTATTTAACTATTTACATATAATGAAAATCAGAAATTTATAATGGTTGTGAGGCCTAGGTAACCTAACCTATCCAGCAGTATGGTTAGTCCCCCCACTACTTTTACCTCAGTCCCCCCTCCACTTCTCGTGAATGAACCTTTGATTTCCGGATGTTCGGAAATCCGCAGCGCACCACCATCAGTACTTCATTCACTACCTTACACGACAATTCGGAACGTCATTAGTGCAATTCCGATTGACCGTGTAGGGTCCGCTTATCAGACAGAGCACAGTGCCTCCTGGATACCGATGTTGACAGGTGCGGAGCGGCTGATCACACACCTGCACGCCTCGGAGGTGCCGATGGCAGTGGCGACCGGGTCGGGCAAGATGGCGTACGACATCAAGACCAAGTCCCACCCCCGGCTCTTCTCCTTCTTCCACCACGTCGTCAACGCCGGGTCCGACCCCGAGGTGCCCTTCGGCAAGCCGGACCCTCGTGTCTACCAGGTCTGTGCCGAGAGGTTCGAGAAGAAGCCGCGACCCAAGGAGGTAAGTGAGCGTCCACATAGCGATGGAAACATCGAGAACAAGTATCTATATGTTTAAGATGAGATCCAGTTGCGTCTCGGAATATTTAATGAGGTAGGGTGGGGTCGAATCGAGAACCCGTAAGAAAAAATCGACATTATTTGATGACAACTTCGATTTAACAATTAGCAGCGAATACCGATAACCAGATAATAACCTTTTTTGTTTTTAATTATTTAAAAAAATAATTAAATTTAAAATGAAAAAGTTTTACTAAACTAAGGGTAACTGGACTGACTTAGAGTTACATAAATTCAAAACCTGAAAACCCTATAGCGACAAAGGTTTTTAGGCCGACATCTTTGAAGAAAGGGCAGATAGTGATGCCGAGTTCAGAGGATCGTCCTCGAGTGCCATTCGACATTAATACCGAATTTCAAAACAATCCGTCAAATATTTTTTTCGAATTCTAAGTATCTTGAAACGTAAAACCTCACATTTTGAGGGAGTTAACTTTAATATTTTTCTTAGTTGATTATTGAAAATAATAATATAATATTAATGCTATTGCAATACAGCTGACGCTAACAGACAGTCCACAGTGCCTCCTGGATACAGATGTTATTTGATGAAAACTTTTTAAAAAGTATTTATAACATTTATATTTAAACTGGGTGATGAATATTCAGGACGTAGTCATTACAAGGTTTTTATTAGTGCCGACATTTCAACCCAACCTTGTGGGTCACCATTAGGACGTGGTTCGAGCACTGAAGTAGTAACCACACTAACAATACGTGTTAGTACTTGAATATCTTCAGTGCTCGAGCCATGAACTGATGATGAGCCACAAGGCTGGGTTGAAACGTCGGCACTAATAAAAACCTTATAATGACTGCGTCCTGAATATTTATCACCCATGGTATGTAAAACATTGGACTAACATTCTTCAATAATTTAGATTTAAAATATGAGAGTCTACTAATCGGATTTTGCTACCCGTAAAAATCGCTGCTGTTTTAAAAAAATATTAGATCAGTAAATTGAGGACGGAAGCGGAAAATGTTCTTTTAACTTTTATTTATGGGTTCAGAAATGTAAAAAACAAAATTGCTACTAATGCGGGCCACCAAGGGAAAACTTTTTACCGTCAACAAGTAAGGTTTTTTAGATCTGTTTTTATTTTATTCCTATAACTCCTAAACATCGAAGTGAAAATGTTCAATTTGAGAAATAAAAGAAAGTTAAATTGTACGTCGAATGAGTACCTAAATCTAATAATTATGTTAAATGGTATGGTGAATAACAACGGTCAACCAACGCTGATTTTTGCCAAATTTCTCACAAACTGGTACAAATTACTATAAATGGCGCTGTAGCTTGTAAAATAGTTCTCTAACGAAAAATACTTAGGATAGAAGTTGTAGAACATGATATTTCGCGTTCACTGAATATCAACAGTTTTAATGTGGTTCAATTACTCTGCTCGAAACCGGTAATGAATAGCGATGGCTGGAAATTGGTAATGTAGATATTTGTAATTTTAAATATGTCAACCGTATGGGTGTCTGTTCTACTGAGACATTCTTGTTAAAAGTCTATTATATATACTATAGGACTGTCTTCCAACTCTCAGCACAGGATTTTGGGAAATGAGGTGTAAAAGAAAAAAAAAAAAAAGAATTTCAAGAAGAAATAAGGAATCCAAGAAAAATAAATAACCAGGATATTTTACAGTGTGTGGGTAAATATTTCAACAGTTCTATTCTACTGAGTTATTCTTGTTACCAGTCTAGTATGTATAGGTACAGTATAAGACTTTTTTCACTTCTCAACAGCGAAGGATTTCGAGAAGCGAGGTATCAAAAGAAAACGAATTTCATGACGAAATAACGAATCCCGATCCGAGAGATATAATTGGTTTACATTAAAACTGTTAGTAATAACTTTTACTCTATGAGTTTTTTCTCTTAGAGAATTCAAGCTGCAGGGCCATTTTTAGTAATTTGTACCAGTTTTTGATGAATTGGGTAAAAATCAGAGATGGTTGACTGTGGTTTTCGACCATAGCACTTAACTAAATTATTTGGTTTTGGTACTCATTCGACGTACAATTTAATTTTCTTTAGTTGTTAATTATTTGCACCTGTCAACTTATTGTTGACAATCAGCAAATGCGATGGCGATACATGTTATAATGACATGGCAGGCATGGGGAAGGAAAGTACGCAGCAGTACCTCTTCCTTAATTTGTTCTAATTACTTAGGTTTTTTAAGGAAGGAGATTCCTCATCCAACGCCTTTTTAGTCTCCTGTTCATGTTCTGAGGTATGTCAGCTGTGGTGTCTCTTATTATGTCCATTCAAATTTGTGTAAAATCGTTTATAAAGGATCGTTGGAAAGAGGTCAGTATGAAGAGTTTTTTAAATTACGGTTTTAGTTTCGATGCACTGTTTACGAGAAAAAGTCTTAAATAAAAAAATAAACAAACAAAAAAACCAAATACCACATATTCTTATATCATTTGAAGTATACCTGCGATCAATTCGAGATATCCTGATATAGCTGATATCACAGAACCTCTTGTTGCAGTGCCTGGTGTTGGAGGATTCCTACTACGGCCTGCTGGCTGCCACAGAGGCGGGGATGCAGACTGTCCTCATACCGGAAGTGGACTACACGGAGGAACAGATGAAAGACGCGGTGATGGTCATCAAGTCGTTGGAAGACTTCAACCCAGAGGAGTTCTCCCTCCCACCCTATCCCAAGGGATAATAAAGGGAATAACAGACAGCAAAAACTTGTTTTAAAAAAAAAATTACTGTACCTAGACCTCTAGTCTAGAATATAAACTAAGGGGGGGCTTTTGCCCCAGCTGGGGGGGGAGAGGGAAATATTGACTAACTGATGCTAAACTGAAACATGCTAAACCCTACACACCCTCAGTCAGTCGTGACTGTCTTAAGATTTGCGTCAATCACAATGTCCCTAGGTACCTATCAGTAAGGCTGAGCTACGCTGTCAATGAGATTCCAGGTAATGTGAATTTGGCCTATTCACTATTAATGTGTTTCATAGGCGGATCTACGGGGGGCTTTCGGGCTGAAGCCCCCCCTCCCTCCCCAAAATGGTAAAATATAATCACGTTTTACAGAAAAAAATATTAAAAACTATCTGTTAAAGTATTCTTGTAAGTTTAATTACATTTAATAGGACTTCAACACACTTAAAACAGCACTTCATATAGGTAATTAATTTCTTTTTTTTTTTCAAATTAATTATTGTTATATGTATATGAAAAAAAAATCTCTCGGGTTAAAGCCCCCTCCCCCCCAAAATTATATCCTAGATCCGCTAGTGATGTGTTTGATAAAATAACCCTAACCTATCTAACATTTACCTTTAAAAAATAAATAAATAATAGAAAAAAAATGCTATTATCTGTTGAAATCTCGAGATACACTAGCACTTAATGTAGTGCTATTCGCAAGATCTTTTTGATTGGACCTAAACATCGACATTTTACAGATTATCCACAAACACTAGAGATGGGGAAGGTGACGGAGTAACTTGACGAGGTTTAAACGTTTTCATTGTTTTCTAGGCACTCTGATGGATTTGTATGAGAGCTTCTCCAATATCTTACCTAATACCACGAGTATTTTCAATTGCCTCTTTTGTCTTCAAAGGGATGAAAAAAAAAAATAGTTACTTTAGTCATCTTACCCCAACTACGAGACTAACTAGACCAAGAATTTTAAAATATCATATCAAGCGAACAACTATCAATGTCAAACTTTAAAAATACATAACCTAAACAGACAACGGTACTAGTTCACAAGAGTTCCGCACGGATTACGCGTGGTTCACAATCACTTCGATCACACTTGTTCATGGAATACCGAAAACAGCCGAATGTTGTCATCTTTTATGACGTCAGCTATTGTCCCTTTTAATGCATTTTTAAAAGAAAAAAAACGTATTCCCTTCGTGGAACTTCCTTATTAAAAATGTATTAGCAAATTGTGTATTTACTTAATTAGTTAATTATTAATTTGCATTATAACGGTCATTACTGTGAATGAAAAAGAAAACATATATAAAATAATGTTTGAGTCTTTCTTCAAGGTCTGTAAAAAAAATATGCTTTTAGAAATAAAATTTTTATTGACACGTGCTTACATGTAGTGGCTATAAATACGCGTAACGCATATACTGTTATATATTATCTATTATAAATTGTATAAAAGAGTTTTTTATCATTTGGATAATAAATAATCCGAATGGCGATTATTGTCGTCATTCGTAAAATAAAAAAATCGTGTTTATTTTCGAGCAAGGAATTTACGTATTGAGGAAAGAACTGAAGAAGAATATCTGATAATTCCGAGATAATGAATAATGGAAATCATCAATAAGAAAAATAATGTCGTGAAATAGCATTCAGAGATGTAATAATTAAATGTTTTTATTTATTAATATTCTTTTTTCACATATATATAATATATGTGCATGATCGATTCAGGTTTCATAATGTGTAGTATAAATTTCGAATTTAAGTCAATACCTTAAATAACGTTAATATAACTGAACATGGTTAAGGTTACAGAAGTACTTAAATGGCGGGAAAGTTAATCGTAACTAATTCAAGAGATCGGTCGCCTTCGTTCTCTGTCGGATAAACACGAAGGCATTCGGGATTCCATGAACAAGTGTGATCGAAGTGATTGTGAACCACGCATAATCCGTGCGGAACTCTTGTGAACTAGTATCCAGACAACATAAAATTGAGAAAGGAACCACAAACTGTTAAAATATAAAAATAATAATAATAAAGGCTTAGCGAACCCGAAGGTTCGATGCCGACACCACCAATCGCTTATTACACACCTCCCTCCACCGTTCGCCGTCCAAACCTAATCCCTTCGAAATTTCAATGGTTTTTGGAGCACTGCAACGAATCCACAAAGAACGGAAACTTGGATTTAGTCGCTGCATATCGAACAATATTAAAACGAATTTTCAACTACCCGATCTTTTGCAAGATAGATCACTTTTTTTGTGCTAATTTGACTGGGCTATATCAAATAATAGTCCCCAGTACAGACCACATTTTATCGAATTATTAACATCTCCCTAAAACTTCGTAAATAGCTTCATCTCATCGTAACCTACAACTATTTTATTTACAAAAACTTTTGGAATTGGGGCGTAGGGGCAAACTTTTATATTTAATTAGGTAATAAAAACTCGTAAATACACATTTGTTTTCTACTTGGATCGTAAGCTAATTTGATCACAATATATAAAAAGGTGGTCTACAAAAATATTGGACCGTTTGTCCTATGTAACTTCGTTATTCTGAAAATCTGGCTGTAGGTCACGCCAAACGGCTCAATATTTTTGAAGGCGACCCTTTTTCTCGATTTTATGATCAAATTGTGTTATTTAGAGTGCTACCAGTGGGTAGTTTCTCAACAAGTGTTTTCATGTTTTTATTTTCTTTTATCAAATTTACTGAGTATATTTTTCCTTAATACAGTTGTAAATGTCATAAATAAAAAAAAAAAAATTATCTTACGATCCAAACAGAAAGCAAATGTGTATTTACGAGTTTTTAGTACCTAATTAAATAAACGAAGTTTACTCCCCTCAAGATTGAAAACGCCCCTTGCCTAAGAGTTTTCGTAAATAAAATAGTAGTAGGTTACGATGAGATGAAACTATTTACGAAATTAAAGGTGTTAGTTAATAATTCGATAAGAGGGGTCTGTACCACGAACTATAACATTGTTAATTAATTATAAACAAAGGTTTTCAGAGTATGACATTTACTTTCAATCTCCGTAAGTCTCATAATAATAATGAAAAAAAAAAATAAAAAAAGCAGTGCATCCTTTGGAGGAAGCAGTGCTGGGGACCAGATGTGACCAGCGAGGTATGGGAAAACAGTAGCGTAGAGGATGTCGAGGAAGAAAAAAAAAGAACAAAAAAAAAACCCGGATGAGAAGAAGGCGCAGGTAGATAGGTCTTCGCTGCATGGTGCGGTCGACCTGCTGTAAATCACCTGCATCCTGTCCTATTATTCCATCTACTAACGATCTGAAATGTCACCTAGATACCTAGAATTCCAATTGTTACATCTGTACAAAACAAATCTATAATGTTAGTTAGTTGGACATGACAGTACAAGCAAGTCACTGACCTAGATAGAGAAGAGGTGGCCATTCACAATCTTTCTAAAGCAGCGTTTACACATTTCATTATCTATAGAAAAAAAAAACATATTTAATTTGACATTAGATCATGCCATTAGAGAGGTGATACCGAAAAAGGTTTGAACCTAGGTGGAACAATATCCATGCTTGGGTATGCTGATGATTTGATATAGTTAAGCGAAGACATGGGAACAATAAAACTTAATACGACAACGTTGACGGAAGCCGGTAATGATCTAGGACTCGAAATAAACGTGTATAAAACAAAATATATGGTTAGCTGCAAAAATAGCGACAATTTCGATGATATCGATATAGCAGAAAATATCTTTGAACACGTACAGACTTTTAGGTACCTAGGATCTACGATAACAAGGAAAATTGAAATTGAAGTGGATATTAAGTCTGAGTTGAAGGCGGGAAATGCTTGTCAAAACTACTTAGTTCACGCCTCTTGTCCCGAAAATTACAAATTATAATTATAATTATAATTTACAAAATCCTACCTACAGTACTTTATGGATGCAAATCGTTACCGCTCACATTAAGGAATAAGCAACTTCTTAAGGTTATTGAAAATAAAGTACTGCGCAGAATATTCGGATCGAAAAAGGAAGAGTCAACCGGAGAATTTAGGCGGTTTGATTGCTGGAAACCGGTTAATACAATTGAGATGTTTAAGTTGAGGCGAATAAAATGGGCATGTAAAATCGCTGGCGTTATTAACGAAAGAATTCCTAAAAAGTTAATATGCGCTTTACCGACAGGCAAATGTCCGAGGAGTAGCCAAAGCGAAGGTGGGAAGATTGCATTAAGGCTGAACTGGCGGGGTAGGGTTTAGACGGAGCTCGGTGGATGGAAAAATGTGGATTGGTGGTATCGGCATCGAACCTTTGGGTTCCCTAAGCCTTATTGTTATTATTATTATTGAAAACAAGATCATGTAAAAGGGGTGTTTGTTTGTGTCACTCTATTTGTTGTCGATGATTCTGTTGTTTTTTTGAAGAAAAAAAGCTTCCTAGAATTTGTGTTATATCGAGTAAATTTCGATATTCCTTTTTTAATCGATACTGGTATTTGGTATTGGTATTAGTATAACATCGAATAAAATATATCGATTCCGGCTTTATCGAATAACATTTATATCGATATGATATGATTGAATTACTGAAAAAAGAAATGTTACCAGTTCATAGGGAAAAATTATAAAATAACTGTTCATAATCTTAAATCACTAAGAACGCCGATGAATTTTTCTATTGTTAAATCAGAAAATTTTGCAGTTTTTGTAATTTTAATTATTATTAATTACCTTTTTTAATAATTGTATTTCTTTATTAGGGGAAAAATCAAAAACATTTTTTTCAATAACGCGAGAACTTCAAAAAATGAGGAAAAAACAAATTAACATTGTTTGCAAAAACATAAAGATAACTTTTAAAAGTTCCCATCACTAGCGGATCCAGGATTTAATTTTTTTTGTTTGGGGGGGTTGCTTCAGCCCGAAAGATTTTGTTTTCATATACATATAATGATAATTAATTTGAAAAAAAAAGA